AGAGACTGTCACAAGTTGTATTTGGTTGGCTTGATGATGAATCATACATGTTTGAGCGGCAACCACAATTACTTCACCGTCTTCAGGTTTGCTAATATTGAACTCATCTTTCCCTTTTAGATTGTATCTTTTCTTTCTTTCTTTCTTTCTTTAATCCTCTGGAACTTTTAACAAGAATGCGCTCATCCCTTTGTAGGTGTTACTTGGAGGCAGGGCCGCAGAAGAGGTCATCTATGGACGAGACACATCAAATGCATCGTTTAGCTATCTTACCAATGCTTCATGGCTGGCTCCTGAAATTTTAAGAATGTTAGGCAAGTCCTCGATTTCAAATTGCTTGCTTTTTACTTGCACTGGCTACCCTTGGTGTCATTAGCTAAAACGAATGGCTGCTTCTATTCAATAGCTGTAATTTGGAGAATCCCATGGTGATACATGGGGGAACCAACCACCACCATGAAGGAAGAACGAGAACGAAAACGAGAACATGACTTCGATTACGTTGCCATTTCTCAGTCGACAAGTGAAGCTTGAGAAGGATGCAAAATCTGTATGTTCTTTGTTATGACCTCTCATTGTCATGCCTCTGTTCTTGCAATGGCTGCTCGCTTTTTGCCGTTTTGCATCACTTAAATTGAGATATAGGAAAGACCGTCAAATTATGCTCTCGCTAAAGAGCTTGAAGCTTGCAAGAGAGTTCTCTCATACAAAAATCATCATCTTTTTAAGCTCATAGGTAAACATTTTCAATTCTATTTTATTTGCATCTTTATATTTTTAATTGTTCTATTTTTCCTACATGCTTACTGGTTTGTCATTAAAATCTTGCATTAATCAAATTTCTAATCCTCCATATTTATTATACTAAAAAGTAGATTTTATCATGGAATAAAATTAAAATAATTTTCTTTATGTAAAGTTGATGACTAAAATAGGATATTTTAAATTTGAAGATAGGATTATTTAATAATTACCTTTTTGTTATAAAAGTTCATCCAATCAAAACATATCTCACTTTTGATTTTTCTAATGGCATTCAAATAAATCAACGTACTTTTTCATAACAAATAAAACAAAACTAGAATTAAGACCATACAGTATCTTAATTATGTCATTAATTAATGAAATTAATCATACTGTTTTACTAGCAAGGAGTCGAAATTACGAAAATACCCCCACGATTAACTGACTGATAGAGAAGTTTCACACGTTTGGAAAATTTTCCCTTTTTTCTCGTCTGTTACGATACCGTTCACGGGTCTGGTCACTAACCAAAACCTCCTCCTCCTCCTCCACCTCTCCGATTCAACTGAAATTCCTATTCCGTCACCGGAGGTCATTTCCACGACGTCATCTCCAGCGCCGGCCAACGCATTTCATGTTCCGAACTCCATAGTTGTTTTTTTATTCTGCGGTTTGGCTTCTTCTCTTGTCGACGGCGTGTTTACTGACCTCCCGCTGAAAACTGGACGCCATAGATTTTTCTAGGGTTTCATGTTCTGTGAGGTTCAAAGTCATACTCATACAGAGGCTTTCATGTCGTCCGAATGGAGATTGCCTCTGCTGTCACCGTTGCCTTGTGGTCCCAACCCTTTCCGATAGCTGCGATTGTTACTTTTCTTTGCTTTCTTCTCGCTCTTTTCGCCGCCGTTCGATTGGTTTCTGTTCCTTTTATTAGGAGGACGAAAGCGCTTCAATCGGAGGGCGTGGGTACGAGGAATTGTAATTGTACCTGTTCGCTTAACGGTGGTGTGGTTATTGGGGGTTTGGACCCCAGGGCTGAGGTTACTTCTTCGACCCGTACGACTATGCCTTATTTGAACGGTCGTGTAGTGGAAGTGTTGGAGAAGACGCCGATGGTTGTGACGGAGCGGCAGACAGGCGCCTCGATGATGGAACAGTTGGTGCCGGAGATTACTACGCACGCTCTTAGTTACTTGGATTATCCCAGCCTGTGCCGTTTGTCCATGACGAATTCGTTGATGCGCAAGGCCGCGAATGATGATAATGCCTGGAAAGCGCTTTATCATAAGGTATAGGTTAGGTTTAATGTTCTTTTGTATGGTTTTCGTCTGAACTGCTGGAGTTGCGGTAATTTTTTTTTTCTTCTGGAAGATGAGTACCGAGGTAGAAACACGACGGGATTTCAGAATTGTGTGTACTTGGCAATTTGTTAAGAACTCTTGCTACCATCGTCTCGTCTACATTCATTCAATTACTTCAGCGTCTTCTAGTGATTCTGGACGGAAACGAATTGGCTATATTTTTATCTTTCAAGTAATGAAATCGTTCCAGTTTATGGCTTGTGATCACAGTTCTTGGATTGACAAGAGCTACCTCTGTTCTTCGTTTGTGTACTGTTCTGGATGCTTAAATCTATTTCTCTGGGGCTAAAAGAACTTTTTCCATTTAATCTTCTAGGACTTCTCACTGGAACAGGATACTGTGACTCCAATTAACGGGTGGAAGGCGTACTATGCTGCAACAAGAACAATTATGAACATCAATGCCCAATTCTGTAACATCATCAGAGAGAGGTCCCTTCAAGCCATGAGTCATTTTTGGTTAAATGCAGATTATGTGAAATGTATTCATGCCTCAGGAGAATTCTTTTCCGGGTACTTTCCTCATTCTCTCTCTCTCTATGAATATTGCTATATTTTTTGCCATGAAATCCGACTGCTGCATGATATGGCTTACTAAATTATCCAACACGTCTGACATCTGTTTATTTCAAGACTTGGGAGCTCGCATATATGACCCCTTTTTGTTGTCTCACTCGTCAGATCTTTACATATTTTAAGCATTTTTTTTATTAAGAAGAAGGTGATATACAAGGGATTATCAGAAATGACATGAGGCTTATGATTACTGTCATGTGGGTGCTAATGGCTATCTGATTACCGTCATAAGCCAAATTTTGAAAAGTCAAAAAATAGTTTTTAAAAACTTGTTTTTGCTTTTATAATTTTGGCTAAGAATTCAAACATTTTTTTTTTAAAGAAATGTGAAAACCATAGTAAAGAAATTGCAAGGGAACAAACACAATTTTCAAAAACAGAAATCTAAAATTAAAATTGTTATTGAACGGCCAAGTTTCTAGTAGTTTTGTTCTATAGAGCATTTGAGGACAATAATTTATTATCAATGTTGAGGCCGGCAATAGACCTTAACCTCGTGTCTGTATTGTTGTCACTTGATAAAGCAATTTTATGAGACTTCGGATAAAGGGTTTTCTTCTTATTTTTGCACAATTTTCTCATTTATTTTGGAAGATCCATCTTTAGACGCTGAAACATGGGCCAATATGTTCGTATGTTGCCTCAACTATTTGTGGTAGACCGATGCTGCATTATGGGCTTTGTTCTTTTTGAATCTGGCTGTATCTAAATGTTTCTTGTGGGAAAGATTTTGCCATGTGCATGGTTAACTACATTACATGATTAATGCTCTGCGTTTATTTACTTGGCCTTCTAGAACAAAAGCAAATGTGTTACGTTAGTGTGAAGCTATGAGGAATAAGGATGTAGAATATATCCATTAATTTGTATTAATCTTCTAACTTCAACTTAGACTAGATGATATATTATTATATATTGACTTGCATAAACTTCGGCATGTCAATTGGTAGACCTGTTGACATGGGTTAACTCCACATCAATTTCATAACGCAGCTTCAGCACAAGGAACTGATAAGGTGGAACTTTCCTGATAATTTCGCAAGTAACCTTTGCGATCAACAAAGACACTTACTAATTTTAGGGGTGAACTATGTTGAAGGGATTGAATATTGAACCTGTGAAGTTGCTATATCTAGATGGTATGATATAAACAATTTATTGTGAAAGGCTATTTATGTATGTTATTTTATGCAATAACTCTATGAATTCCTATTATATGTTAGAGTTAAAGCTTTCAAATAAATTCATATAATCTAGTACTTAACATGTTGGGGTTTTCCTTTTAACAGGTATAACGCAGTAATTCAAAGTTGGCAGGTTGCATTTAATTGGGAACAAGGGATTAATTTTCAGGTCCGCGACGTACGGGCTCGTGTCCTAACAGACATGGCTTGGGTTAGCATGAAAACCTACGTCGACATGGATACAGGGCCATTCAATGTGACTAACGTCTATGAGTACCATAACGGTCGATGGTACATGGTGCATCATCACAGCTCAGTGATGCTTATTGTTGGGGAGGTGGAAGAACAAATGGCTCATGGGTAACAGAGCAAAGATAGAAGAGAAGAAAACCATGAAAATATAGAATTACTAAGTCAAAGATAGATGATGTCTGGTAGCAGAAGCAAGATTCCTTCTTAACAGCACCAGAATCAAGTGTTCGAACCTCAGTTTTGCTTGAGCTATGTTGATTGCTGCGCCCTTTTTCTTTCAATGTTTTGGTCCCTAATTCTTTTGTTGGTTCAGAGGTTTCAGGAATGGAATTCAATCCTGGGAATGAGGTAAATGATGAGTTTTAGAAGTATTTTTGGTTGGTTTGGTTCATGCTCAAATGGCTGCTGCATGTGCTTTCACCAATGAAGGATCATCCCCATTATCTGTACTTTAATTTCTTGATCGATTGACTGCTACACTTCGACAGGTATATGACTTGTTCAATGACTTGTGTGTAAAGAAGAAAGGATAAGCAACTTTGGATGAGACTCTATTGCAAATGTGCAAGATTTTCTCTTCAGAAACGCCCAATGTTAAAGCATGATGGGGGTAATGCCTGTTGGTTAAATTACAAATGTCCCCTATGTTTAGATGAATATTTGAATTTAATCCATATGATTTTAAAAGTTGTAATTTTGACATTATGATTTGATTAAATGTTAATGTCAACGGGAATTTTATTTTATGGAAATGTTGAATGAAAATTTTATAATTTTATAAAAAAAATTAAGATGCTTAATTTTTGTGGTTACTGAACCCGAAAAGAGGAAAATATTGGGTCGTCTCCCAATTGGAGAAGGGCTATCTCACTTGGCTGCCCACGGCCTTCTTTCTCAACGCAAATTGAAAACAAGCTGGAAATTTCCAATCGACTTGGAATTCTGTGAGCCTCTAATTCCCCACCGGAGCAAAGAATATCCGTGCCCCTGTTGTCTCGTGCCCACCACGCACAGATGGGCTCTGCGCTTCTCTCAGTTCCTGCGCCTCAGCGAGCTCCATTCTTCCACTCCTCCTATGCAACCACTCCGAGATTGTCTCATGGACCCATAACTTCACTCAGATTTTCATCATCTAGGGGCGTCAGCTTCCTCTCTTCCTCCTCTTCCTCCTCTTCTTCTTCTTCTGTTGTAGATGAAGAAACAAATTCTTCTCCTCCCGACGACCTCTCTCTTCAGTCTGAATCAGACCCTGATGGTTCTTCGTTCAGGTATTGATGATTTGATCCTTCGTCTCTCTGTTTGCAAGATTCTGATGATAGAAGAGTGATTTTGATAACTTTAATTCCATGGTGGTTCTGTGTTTGTTTATTGGATTACATTTATTTATGTTTTCTACTCGAGAGTGAGCGAATTGAGAGCGACTATGTCATTTGTCTAGCTACGAGAACTGTGTTCTAAGTAGAACATTCTCCTCTTGAAGTTTGGATTGAATTACTCCAAATGATGCCGAAGGATGGAGGAGCTCTAGCATTTGGTAAATAAACGAGGGTGAAAATTCTAGTTGATGAGTATTGCTCTAGTTGATTATCATCCATAAAACTTCCTTTGAATTTTCGGTTTTCCCCTACGACTATCCATATGGATGCTCATGCTCTGGTTGAGAAGTTAAATATGTCCTAAATTTGAAATAGTCACCTTAAGAGGGAAAACATGCGTCAATTTTCCTTGTTTCTCCTAGGAACTAGTTAAACAAACAAGATGTGGGAAGAACAAAATAACCTCTGAGCTGCCTCTGCTCATACTCAATCCGATTGGTGTAATCAGCTGAGAACAAGACTTGGTTCAGCACTTAAAATCAGTATCATCCCATCATGACTGAATGTCTCTCTATTTCGCTTGTTCTTGTACATATTATAGGCCATGTATTTCAGTGTGTAAAGGACATGAATTGAATCAGTCCACAATGCAGAGTGAAAACTAGTTGGAACGGTTCATTTCAAACCACACCTGGGGTCTCTTGAGACCATCAATTTAGATATATTCAAGTCATTTTCACTTAGAATGTTATGGTCTGGCCTTAACTTATAATAATGATGGTGCCAACGATATGGCTTAGAACAATCTTGTTTTCTCTTTCATTTCTTATAAACAGAGGATGCAAAGCCTGTGGAAAGGAAGAAATTGAGAGGGGATGCAATGGTGAGGGAAGGATACAAGGTGGCATTGCAACAGTCCCAGGTTTTGGTTGGTGGCCTATAAAGGCATACAGGCCTTGTCCTGAATTTGTAGCATCCGGTGGCAGATATAAGCGGCGTGGACAAAGCATGGACGAGGTTACATCTGGAGGAGCAAGGACAGAAGCCTCCGCTGCTGCTGGCAAAAAGGACTCGTTGAGGTACAAGCCATATATCCCTTTCCTTATGAAGTAAATTCATATGTTTATATACTTTCAGAACTTGTAATGTTGCAATCTAACATGCTGCTCTTGTATACTGACTTGCAAAATGACCAAACCGAATGCTTGATACCAATTTTGTGAACTTGCTCACACCATAGGGATAAGAATAGCTGGAAGTTTGGCGAAAATAGCTTCTTCCATTTTTCTTTGGCTGGGAGAAATGAAAGTATTATCTCATTATCCGAGTACTGTAGGAGAGGAAGGCCATCTCGAAATGGCATGGTTGCTTTCATGACTGGTTTCTGGGTTGCCAGTCAAATTCTCTTGTTAGCTTCATTTTGTTCTCATTGTTCCTTATCAGCCTGATAGTAAGAGAAGGTAGCTGTTAGGATTAGGATTTCCATAATGTGACCAAGCTTCTTGTTATCATTGTGGTTTTGGATTTCCCCTGTTGTTTTTCTTGAATTTCCTTCATGTTTTACTTTGAGTTTCTAACTTTAAACAATACCGATTCATTCACTTTTCGTTACGTCGTTTCGTCCAGCAAGAAAAAGTCGGCGAAGGGGTAATATAGGCAGCCTTACCATCCACAAGTTGATACACAAACAGGGAGGGAATGAAGGGTGGATGATGTAGAATTGGTTTCATGGAAATAGTACATGTGAATGGGTGAAAACTGAACAACAAAATCTCATTGGGATTTTTCTGTATTGAAATTTGGCTAGATTCTCACTTCTTTAGGCTTCTGTAACATCAGAATGCTGCATTTAAAGCACAGAAAATTTTCCAATCCATGGTTTGTTTGAAGCGTATCAAGATTCATTCTTTGCAGGATATTTTCTCTTCCAGTTCCTAACGGATGCCTTGTTTGTTCTCTCATGCCTAGTTCTCCCAGGAATATTTCACCAAAGCAGTATGATTTCAACAAATTTGAACTGGAAGTTGGTATGAGCAGGTGATCATACTTGGGATTTCTTCTTTCTTTTTTTCTTTTTTTCCCCTTAATTCTTACATAAATGAATGAGAAATCAAGGCTTTTCTTCTTCTTCTAGAAATCAAGACTCTTATTTTTATCAAAATTTCACCATCAAAAAATATTTTAAAATACCCATTATTATTTATAAGAAAAAACAAAGCAATTTGAAATAGTCAAGAATTTGGTGGCAGATTTTGAAAGTTATGTAAATTTGACAAACAAAAGTTGAAAAAGATGTATCAACAAATCTTAAATTTTGATGCATTCATCCAACCACCCAACCAAATTTTAATTGTCTATCACATATTATGGCTTGGAAAAATCAAACTTTGGAAGAAGAAAAAAATCTTCATGAAGAAGGCAAGAACCAATACCCACATACTCGAAGATCGATACCCACATACTCGAAGATCGATTCTAACCTCATGAAATAAGGATTTAATAGACCGTTTCGTAAACATTAGAGATAAAATTGAAACTTTAGGACGAACACGAGTTCATCTCTTACAAGATCATACAATATCCAGAACTTCAACCATTTTGTTTTTAACCTCAGAATTGAAATATAATACAAAGACATGTTTATTATTACAGTACTGAGTTCAAACTTTTTTTTTTCCAGTTTCAGTAACTAAGTATTGTTTGTGTACTTTTTCATTCACAACTCAACCAGCTAACAAACACCAACACCCTCTATACTAACATTTATAACCATAGATGACCTGATGATTCTTCTCAACTCCCAAAACTTACGGATGCGTTCTTACGATCGTCGTCGTTGGCAATACTGTCGATTAATTCGAGTAAAGCTTGTTGTATACGTACTCTTTCTGTCGTTCAAGAGGATTTTTCTTCAAATATATCCAGCAGAGAAAGTGCCTGCAAATTTCACAGAATGAGTGTTAGAGTTGTTGAGCATTTCATTGAGCTACAAATCGCAATCGAATCGTTCTGTTCTATCGATGTTCGATCTCGAAAGTGCAATTACCTCTGAAATGTTGAGTTCAAGGCGGAACTTGGGGCCATCATAGTGGTGAAGAATTGGTCTGAAAGAGTCCTCTTCCAGTGGCTCACATATCTTCCTAGTCATAATTCTTACCTGTTTCATTCAAACAGTTCTCTTTTAGCTTAGATCTATGGAAGTCAGAAACTCATTAAGGTTCCAGACAACAACACAAGAGCATTACCTGCGCAGGGAATCGAGATTCGCCTGGAGTTTTCTTGTCTTCCCATGCAGTTGGATCGATGTTTGTCCCTCCAAAACTTGCAGCCTGGAAAGATAGTTCATATAGTTTCAAAATAAGTAAACAAAACAGACATGTATTGATACTCAAATTAAGAGATCCCAACAAAACAGACATGTATTGATACTCAAATTAAGAGATCCCAACAAAACAGACATGTATTGATATTCAGATTAAGAGCTCCCTATTGAAGCCATGGATATAGCACCAATTGAAGGAAGGAGACACACCTCAAAGATTCCATGGAGTTGGTGGGTAGAATAGTTGTAAAGGAAAATAGGCAACCCAGGAGTGATGGCTCTCACTGAATCTCTGTATCTTGGAGGCAGACCTAAACATTGATTCAACAAAACAAAAGGGGCAGGACACAGATTCATCAAGCTATGCAAGAACAAAGCAGACAGATAATCAAAATTGAAGAAAAGGAGAAGGGAAGCTCACCAAAAAGCTGCCTCTTGAGATTCTCTTGCATTGTATCATTGTTGCAAACAAAGATATATCCACCGACAGTTTCATTTCTTGGCAAAGATTCAGATGGAGGAAGGGTTTTGAATCTCTTGTCCAAAGCATTCTTGTTAGCATCCTTGTTGTTATCATTGGTATTTTCACCACTGTTCTTCTTGTTACTGTTCTTCTTCCCAGTTCTTCCTCCATTTTCTTCTTCAATCTTCCCACTGTTCTTGTAGTTCTTCAGATTCACAAAACTGTTAGTGTTATAATTCCCAATTTTGGAGTAAACCCCCTTGTTAAACCCTCCGTTAATACCCTTTTGAGCTCCTCCAATCAAAGGATCAACCCCCATATTAGCAGAATTAAGCTTCCACCCATCGTTGAAGGAATTGAAATCAGACCCCTTAGGCTTGAAGCTATTCCACCCATTATCAAACATATTGAGTGCATTCTTTTCAAACCCAGATGAACTCAGATTGCTACTGCCGCTGCTATTGCTCCAATTCATAAGATCAGAGGCAACACTCGGCTTAAAACTATTCCATCCATCCTTCAATCGATTGACATCAGAATCAGACACTTCAGGCTTAAAATTAGTCAACGAATTTACCTCTCCGCCACTTCGAACATCGAAATTCCTCCTATCCTCGTGCCTCTTCGACACAAACGAATTGCTCCAAATAGAATCGTTGAGCGAAAGGTTCGCGAGATTCCCAGTTTGCAGTCGAAGCTGGTCGCTGAACTGCCTAAACGATTGCGGGTTAGAATCCATTTTCGAACGAAAAACAGCCCCAAACTCAAAGAAACGAAAAACCCAGATAGAAAATCAGGAATCGAAAGAGACAGGAGAGAGAAATGAAGAAAAGGGAAGAGAGAAAAGGAGTTAAATAGAATGGGTATTTGGTAAAGCAGAGGAAATTTCGAAGAAGGAAGAGGGGATTGCGTGTGGAAAAAAAAACAAGGCTAAGAATTGATTAAAGAAGAGAAGAAGGGTTAGAGTAGTTGAGCCAATGAGAATGTGACTAATGGAAAGCCGCGTAATCGAGGAGAGAGTGGGGGACACTGAAAAGGATGGAGAGGGAAGGTTTTTTCAAAGCATTCTAGAAAGGGCTGAGATCCCAAATTCCGCCATTGATTTGCTTCGCTGCTAAGCTTTTTGCTTTCTTTAATACAAAAACAAATCTTTCCAAACATGTCGATGTTAGGTATCTTTCACATGAGTCTCTTAAATTTGAAATGATTCAAACTTTGATATGTTTAGAGTCTTGTGAATTCAGTACTTAAAATTAGCTGATGACTCTCTAGTAGTCTCCACATAGTATAATAATCACGAGTAAACAACCTTTGTGTTTGCCAACTACTACGATACTATGTTGATCCATGTAAATTTAAACAAGTTTTGTGTTAGATGATAGTTAGAAACCTCTTAACAGTCTCCACATAGTTAACGTGATGGCATTTCATATCGTATGTATCAGGGGCATGATCTGAAGTCCACCAACTTCTCTAATACAACTCACTACTAGGAGAATGGCCCTATGGCCGATAAGTTTACTACGGGAGGTTAGTAGGTAAACATTTTACAGTCCACATGTAGTAAGTTGACAGAAGAGACTCGTCACAAACCATAAAGAAGCTTCCAAATTAATCAAAAATTCAAGGTGCTTTCAATCACTTAACCCACATCCTTAAACCAAATTAGGTAATTTAATCACATTTCTTCTATACTATTCCTTAATATGCAATATCCAAGTCAAAGTATTCCAAATACTGGAATGACTATTTTAACCCAATAATAAGTGGAAGCATTTAATTATTATAGGCTTTAATTAATTACTTAAATTTAATTAACAAAAGTCTAAATTGTTTTCAATTTTAATTTTATAATGATAATTTAATACTGGTGATTGACCAATTCAACCATTTTGTACAATAAAAGCCTAAAAGGGGGAAATTTGGAAAAGTATTACGTGGACAGAAAATCATATCTAAAGTTTAAAAAGATAATGCATTATTGAATCAAGTTTCAAATTTTGACTTTGCTATATTAAAAAATTAAATTAAAATAAAATAAAATAAGGCCAAATGAGAGAGAGATCACAAAACACGATCTTACATACCCAAGCTTGAGGCTCGGAATCCAAGCCTCGCCAGGTTTGGGATCCACCCAGCAACCCACAACATGGCCTTCCCTACATTACTCCGGCCCAGACGCCTCCTTCCAGCCCAAGCCCAATAAAAATTGAGTTAAGATCCACTAAGCCCAATACTTCGATCTGTTGCACTCCAATAAAGCCCAATGGGCCCAGCCTTTCCACTCCGGACTACTCCTCTCAACTTCGGAGGTGCAAAGCAAATCAAGAAGTGAATTAAAAAGATTTAAAAATTAATCATAATACAAACATTGATAGAAAGAATTAATGATAGATCTAGATGGAACAAAATAATTATTAATAAAAGTATTTAATTTTTTAGAAAAAAAATTATTTTAATTAAATATTTATTAGTGATGTCTAAATTTTAAATTATTGATCTATCGTATTGTTAATGAATCGTTTAAAATTATTTTTATAAAGTCAATACACAAAAAAAAACATGAATATATTGTATTTAATTTTACCCATTTCTATTTATCTATCTATTCTACTGAATCACATCTTTGAAAATACCCGTTTTTATATATATTTTAAAAAATATCATTCAGTAATCCATTTATTACTTCTTCATAAGCTAATATTACCACTTTAAATTACATGAGACCCATGACGTGGCATGCTAACTTTTGTCTCCTACAAAAACATGTACTTGATTAAATTAATCAAGCCTTTGTCCCCCAAAAGTATTTAAAAAAAAAGAAAAAAAAAAGGTTTAGTTCGTTCAACCTACCTCTCCCTCTTTTGGTGAAGAGGTTGGATGCATGAATTTCAAAATAAAATACATTAATTAAGCTACTAAAAACCATTTTAAAAATAGCTATTTTGACCATAATTTCGCTGATAAATCAACAATTAACATGTGAAAATTAACATGTGAAAGGTCGATGATTTAATACCTACCTCTATATGATTGTAAATTGTAAACGCATATGATTGCTAATTTATAATTTTTATTTATTTTATTTTTTAAAAGAAGAATGGGAATAAGAGGTAGAAATATATATATATAAAATGAGAAACAAAAAGTTGTCCCTAAGGCCTCTATATGTCTTCCTATTCAGATTTATATATTATTTGTTGAAATTTGTAAGATTAATTAAATTAATGTTAACTTTAACACCGACATTAATTTAAAAAAATATGAGGGAAAAATGAGAAAAATATTTTTTATTAACAAAAAAAAAAAAAAAAAGTAAAAGTAAAAGAAAAGCGAGTCGGGTTGGTGATGGTTACTGTGGTGGGTGCAGGTGAATGCATGACGAGGCACATGGGGAGTCATCCATGTTGTTCCAAGCCATTTAATCACACTCTCTAATCTCTCTTTATAATATTTTAATTTTTCATTATTCTTCTTTAATCTCTCTCTTTCTTTTCTTTTTACTATATTTATTCTAATTTGGATCTCTCCCTTTTAACTTCCTTTTATAGTATATATTATATATTCATTATTATGATATCTATATATGTTTTTTTATATATATATGTACACTTGTTGTTAATCAGTTTTTTTAAAGTTAGGAAACAAGTCATTAGAAAATTATTGTTTACTAACGTATTTAAAAAATATACGAAATTTAATTTCTTTTTGTCAAATTTATAATTAAATTTTAAAATAATATAAGTACTATCACCAAAATTATATTTTACAGATCATCATACATTAAATAAAGATTATTATAATAAATCTTTTTCTAAGTCCAAAAAAAAAAGTTGGTCAAATGGTTGAGTGTTAATTGAATTAGTTGGTAAGATATTATATCTTTGACTATTATTGTCATCAATTTCAACTTGCTAATTAAAGGACATTAAACAAATTATTAATTAGCCTAAATTAGGCATTGTTCTAACACTTAATCATTGGATTAAGTTCTAAGATTAATATAAATAGAATTATGATTTTTTATTTTTTTTAATAACTTCATTTTTCACTATCTCTAATAAAATTACCCATTAAACTTCACAAAAACTAAGATAAAATAATTCGACGATAATTATTATGTATTTATTTATGGATAGGAATATAATTCAATCATAAGGTAGGTTTGATTGTTTTTCTTTTCTAAAATTGTTTAAATATTTTATTTTCGAAAAATTGCTCACTTTTTGCTGGCAAAAATGGACAAAATTTGTCATGTCACCCTCAATTTCCATATATGGGTTCCTTTGGTCTACAAAGGTAAACGGTAAAAAAAGAAAACATTACATTTTACCCAACGTCAAACTATTCATTTACCCCCAATAATCACCTTTATTTATTTATTTATTTTTTAAAAAAAGTGATATACACTTTAAAAGAATAAATAAAGGTACTCGAGTTAGTAAGGCCAATAACTCGTTTGTTTTTAATTTTCTTTCTCTTGGAAATTATGTTAATTTGCTAACCATTTTAAAAAAATAAAAACAAATTATTAAACTCATCTTAAAATTTTAATATTACAAAATTTTGACAAAAAAAATAATAAAAAAGATATTAATTTTTCTTAAATAACAACATGATTTCACCAATAAATTTGAAATTATGTGGTAGTAGGTATCCATTGACCTAATTTTGGGCACTAAAATTCATCACCCCATGAATTAGGGTTCGCTTTGAAATTGACAAATAAAATCAAAATAAAAGGATTTTATCAAGTTGACCAATCTCGTGATTCCTACATGATTTTAAAAAAAAAAAAAAAAAAAAAAAAAAACACAAACCCAAACACATCTCAAAGTTATGTTTAAACATGTCTTTTCTAAGTCCACCTTAGGTTATTTTTCTTCAATTTCTTGTCTTTTCTATGTTTGTTGGTTTTCTTTTTTCTTTTTGTTTTTATGTTCATTTCTTCGTTACATCGCTTTTCATCCTCAAATCTTACTTCAAAATTGTTGCTATTTTGGATATACATTATTGTACCAACTTTTTTTTTTTTATATATATAATAAAAAAAACTATTTTCTAATGATTGTGACGTTGATTTAATGTTTATTTGTATTGATTCTATATACTTTTCGAAAGTACATGTGATTTTTTTTTACTATTAAATAATGTATATATACACTTTTTAAATACAAATTGTATATTTGAAAATGTGTCGAAAAGAGCTGAATTTCTGTTGTGAGTGTTCATGTAATGTTTATCACAAATTAAAAAAATATAGCACTAAGAATCACAATTTTCACTTTTTCTCCAAAATTCCCATTAACTAATATATATAATAAAAAATAAAAAATAAAAAATAAAAAAGATATTTTGGTGTTGAAGTAAATTAATTAATTAAAAATCCTCCCCCCCTCCACTTCAAATTGGATTATTGATGGCTAGTTTCCCATTTTCCTATGATTATCTCCACTTGATTTACAACCCTTAATCAATGTTACATGATGGAATTGATTAAATCTTAACTAACATCATTACTTTTTTAATTTGTATTAGTGATATCTTACGCGATAAACCATATCTCAAGTGAGATGTTGGTAATTAGAATCTCATGTGGAATTAGTTGGTAGTTATTCGATATCTATAAGGTAAGATCTCGCTCGAGTGTGATGTTGTGCCAACGCAATTCGATGATTAAATCATCGAGTGATTAGAGAAGTATAAAACATAGTTTGTATTAGATTGTTGAAAGGTGGTTCATATATTCAAATTCGTGTTATTACTTGCTCAACATGTCATTCTCCCTCTTTGGATAGTTAATTAAGTGTCTTCAGTTTAATCAATTGTCAATTCGGACACTTTTTAGTATTTGTGAACCTATCCCACGAGTTTGTCCTAGTGGGGTTTAGACCCAAATTTTAGTAA